CATACATTCAACAATTAAATACTAAAGATTTAATAAAAAAATTATAATTAACATTATAAACTATAAAAAATTCTAATTAACATTATAAACTTTTTATATTAGAACTCGGCACACTAGAATATTATCATTTACCATCTCTATCATTTAGAGACTCTTTGTATCTTTATAAATACATATTTTTTCATTTACTTCAAATATAATGGATTGATCAATAATAAGATCATTTCTAGAACTATTGTTCTCATTTGGTATCAGTAGACAAAATGATCCATGGCTACAATATTTCCTCTTCTCACATCATATTCCTCAAACAATATATTCTGGAAGACTTAACTTGTTCCCTTATAGCTGCGCTTTGGATGAGTATTTCGTTGTAGTCGCGCTCCAGATGAGTATTTCGTCGTAGTCGCGCTCTGGATGAGTATTTCGTTGTAGCTGCGCTCTGGATGAGTGTTCCATCGTAGTCGCTCTCTGGATGAGTGTTCCGTTGTAGCTGCGTTCTGAATGAGTGTTCCGTTGTAGCTGTGCTCTAAATGAGTGTTTTGTTGTAGCTGCACTCTGAATGTGTTTTCCGTTGTAGCCTATTTTGCGGTCGAAATTTGGTCTCGTCTCTATCTGATGAAGTTTTGAGTGTTGCAGTGGGACATGCCATGTCTTTGGCCCTATGAAGACTATTGAAATCGCCTTTGGGTCTTCTTCTTGGGCACAACATCTTAGTATCTTGACAAAGCCAAGATTTTAATTGATCTCTACACTGATTACCACAAGATAATCTACTCATCGACCAAGTCGTATACATCTTCACCAAGCCACTGACCACATCAATGTTAAATTATCTAAGAGACAAATTCAATGTTCTCTCTAAATAAACTTAAATTTGTGAGGGTATATTATTCTAATCTCATTAGAATTCCTTCTCCCTCCCATATATTATGTTTGTTTTTAATTATTTTAATTATAAAACTACAACGGCATGTTTTATAGATGTTTTTGCACATTATTTAGACAAGTTTTACACTAAGGGGCCGTTTGGTTCACGGAATGTTAGATTACCTTAGGGAATGTAAGATTACCTTAGGGAATGTTAGATTGCTGGGAATGTTAGATTACTGGGAATGTTAGATTCCCGTGTTTGGTTAAAATTGAGGTATGTAATATTATCATGTTTGGTTTAGGGTTATCTTTATATATATATATATATATATATATATATATATATATATATATATATATATATATATATATATATATATATATATATATATCTAATATCCTTAACATATTTTCATATATTTTAATAAATTTAATCATTAAATTAAATAAATAAGATAACGGTATCATATTAATAATAATAATAAGCTAACATAAAATATATATCTTTAAATAATTAGAATTAAAATGACAAAATTCATAAATATGCAAGGTTATCTTACATTACCTAACAAAATGAAGGGAATCACATTCCCTTCAAAATCCTATGTGGAGGGAATGTTACATTCCCTGGGAATGTTATATCCCTCAGAGAAAATGAACCAAACATAGGAATGTAAGCTCGGGAATGTCACATTCCCTTGGTTATATAATATAACCTGAACCAAACGCCCCCTAAAGATTCAAGAACTACAATATATGGGTTTTTTTTATATATATGGGTTTCAAAAAAAAAAAAAGGAAAAAAAAAAGAAGAAGAAAAAAAAAAAAAAAAAAAACAGTAATTTAAATAGTCAACCAGAATTATCATCTGGATTTGGAACCATATTCAGATCGATAACTCCCAATTTCTTGATCGCCGTCTCTTTTTTCTCTACCGCCGCAACGCCGCCGTTAACCTCCGCCGAACACTCCCGTTCGAGTACTTCTGTCGTCATTTTCCGGCCGCTGCCGCTCTCGCCGTCGCCCTTACCGAAGTACTTGACCGCCGCGCGTATTCTCTTCAGTATCGCGAAGAACTCCTCCACTTCCTCGTCCGCCACCTCCGAAGGCGGCTGCGTCTGGACGTCTGCGGCGGCGGCGGAACCCTCCTTCATACGCGCCCTTTTCCGAGCAGCCGAACCGCCGCCGCTGCCGTCTGCCTTCCTCTTCTCTCCCTCCATAATTAATTAATTCTCGCAGAGATTTGAAAATTGTAAAGTTGAAATCCTTTGGGTTTTAGTGTTGAAGAGGAATTGCAAACAGGAATTGTGAGTAGAAGATAAAGTGAGAGACATGTAGAAATTTAGGGGATTTCTAATTAGTGTCAACACTCAACAGCAACCAAGAAAAATGCCATTTCAGGGACGCGACAATTGATAAATATATCGTTCTTGGCAATTGTTGGGTAGCATGAGAATAAGAAAAATTCACAGTCACTAGTACTATTGTGCAGAGTATTAATCATTATAAAACTTCTATAATATTTTGCAGTAAATTGATTTTGTTATTCTTACTCTAAAAGGTTTAATCCCTAGTCCCAAAAGCCTCCGCATCCTAGTTTGATAGGATATTTAGGAGGATGTAAATCACTGTAACTCAGTGGCTCAACGGACAGGGCCAAATGTTAATGCCCACAAGGGATCTGTCCACTTTGATAATTTTGTTATTCTTAACCTATAATCAGTGTTGAAAAAATCGCTAGGCGCCTAGCGCCTTGGCACCTAATTTTTTAAAGACTTGATGATTATAAACTATGTAATACTTTAAATATTAACCTAAAAACATCTAGAATTGTAAATTGTATAAAGATTTAAAGAACCAAACCACAATTTCATAAAGTCACAACTCACAAAGTATCAACTTAGTTCTAAACTTCCAAATCAATTCATAGAATCATAGAAAAAATAATCAAGTCCAAATTCCAAACGACGTCGTTTGAAACTATTTAGGATTATTTCGCTCAAAATGACTTCGTTTTGAACGAAATAACCATTTTTTTAAAAAAGGAAACAATAGCTAATCGGCCGACTAGGCAGTCTAGTCGGCTGACTGATGTCTAGGTGCGATCTTTGGGCTAAAAAAGATTAAGAAAGTATATAACAGATTTACCTTGTAAAGAATTATGATTGTTTCAAAAATAAATTAATAAATAGTAAATAGAGCATATGTAAAATGAGACTAAGAAACTAGTAAATTGATTATAAATTACTAATTTTAATGTATATATCTATCAAATACGTAGTATTAGAGATCACGTGTTCAATTCTTATCAATATATTTCTCTCTTTTTTCCCTGATTAATTCCCGTTTGCTCTAAGAGGCACGGGAGCTGATCAAAAAAGAATCGTCACTCATTTACAAATTGAACCCGAGTTATCTCGAAATTCTTCCCCACAAACAGAACTCATTTGCCACTTGACTACCCGTTGGGTTATCATCAATATACTCTAAATACATAATAGGAAGCATTCGGGGTAGTAGGATTAGAAGTTGCAAAATGTAGCATCCTTGCAAGATTGTTATAGTTGATGGTGTCATTGAATAAATAACTAAGAAAATCGATAGGTCGTTCACGTTAATAGTCAAACATAATACTTGTAATTACCAAATCAATAATCTAATCAACTTAGTTGACGTTGCAAACAAGATTTGTTACAATGTTGGTCTTTAATTAAGAGCATCCACACTAGTGGCTTTTATTTTTTTATTTTTTTTGTGGGGTTCATGATGAGGTGGATGATAGAGAAGGAGGTGAGAGAAGGCATTTTGATCTCTTGCAAGGTAAAAATTTTTGTGAACCGGGAGAGAGAGAAAAAATGGAGAAAGACAGCGGTTGTGCGCGTTTTACGCACAGCAAATACCCATCACTGTACGCGCCTGCTAGCGTGTTATACTTTTCTTTTCTTTTTTGGGCATCAGATGCATAAATTGTTTTGTTTTGTTTTTTGTTTGTTTGTTTTTTTTTTTTTTTCCCCCCTTTTTTCCTTCTCCTCTTTCATTCATCTCTCTCTTACTTGGATCATTAAAAACTAACCGTGAAAAAACTAAATTAGTGTGGATACGCAATATAATGAAAGGAAAACATATAGTATCATAGTAAGGTCTAGATATTTTCGTAGACATTTTAGTACTTTTGTTTGATGAACGACCAAAGCCATCACAAATCACAATGTCACAAAATTGAGAATATATTTTGCAACTTCTTGTAGCGTGTGGTTGTAGGAATGTTGGAATAGTGACGTGGGTGTGCTTACGTATATGGTTTGTATTCATGTTATGGATTGACTTGAAGTAAGAAGACTTGAAGTAAGAAACTAAGACCAAAGACGTTGCTCTCCTCCATCATAAAATATCACATACAGCCCTATAGCCTTTTTTAAATTTTAATTTTAATTATTATATATATTTTGAATGTATTAAGTTTCTCAACTTACGACAGATTAATACTAAACTCTTAGGGGATGTTTTTATAGTTGTTAGCTGATTGGTTTAGTAAGTCTGACTCGTTGATAACTAAGGTAGAAAAGTGTTCGGTAAATTAGTTGTTAGCTGATAGCTTATTACATGCAAAATGACTTTCTAAAAAATCTGGTCGAAAAAGTTAATTTGAGCAATTTTTTGAATTTTAGCATTTTGGAACAATAAATTGTTACAAAAAGTTAGTTAATCAAACATTCATATTGATTATTTAACCAAGTCAAACAGCTAATAATGATCAAATAAGTCAAAATTAGTTGATAAACTAACTATATTACCAAAAATTTGTAATACTTATGAAATTGACTTGTCCTTTTTGGTAACATAGCTAGAAAATGATAGCCCTGTTCTTCTTATTTTAATTATATATATACACACACACATTATATATATATATATATATATATATATATATATATATATATATATATATATACACGCACACTTTATGGATTGATTAATTACAAACATAATATAATAAACGCTCTGTAATATTTAAATATATATATATATATATATATATATATATATATATATATACTAGTTTTTTACGCGTATTGCACGATTGGGATAATGCCCAATGTTTGTTTTTTTTTTTTTTTTTAAATAAGTACTTTAAAGTATATTAAGGCAAGATTATATTGAACCCTCATTTTCAAGAATTCACATATAGTTTGGTCTAGGAGGGGGAGGGGCTGGAATAATCCCCAATCTCTGGCGAAAATCCTCCAAATCCTCGCTAAAGTGTTGCTCGTAATATACACACATCAAGTCACTGCATCTTAAACCCGCCTTCGTAGCCCACGGGAAGTAATGCTGATAGAACAGTCGCCTTTGTTTCTCGCTGAATCTTGCCGTACCCCCTACCACGGACATCATACACATCGGGAGCATCATTTGTTCAAACTCAATAACCTTAAGCGCTGTTTCTCCGATCAAGTTGGTAGGAAGACCGAAGAGGGTGTGCCAGAAGTCGTGAACCTCACGGGCACGCATGGCCACGTACGCTAACTCTTCGGTTTCCATAAACCGGACAGGCGGCCGATCATCGGGAGAGAAGTTCCGAGATCCCATAAACTTGGCGTACGCAGCTCCAAATGTGTTGTCGGGTAGATCCCACGCATGGCCCACTTTGGAAGAAATTACCCGAGGCCGCTCCAACAAGATTGCCTGAGAATGAATCTTAACATGTTAAGAGTATTGATAGAAAACGTTGTTTTCGCCCGAACAGACTTAGCTCAGTGGTTCAGTAGATTGCCAAAATTTAAAGGTCAAAAGCTTTACCCTGCCCTCGGGACTATTCTTCATCCTTTGCAGAACCCTTTCGAAAGCAGGTTTTCCAGTAGTCTCCCCCAAAGCCGCAATAAGGTCAGCTCTTCGAGGGTCCAACAATGCACCCACTGCTGAACCAAGTGCCACTGCAGCCTGCTGCCATCCCTTGAGTCGAACACCAGCACCACCAATCATTTCAACCCACTACAGCTAACCAAAGAAACAAACAGAAACGAAAAAGCATTATTAATTTTCTTATAAACCAAACAGCTTTATTTCTTTCTTCCCTTCAATTCAATGTCAAATATGGAAAAAAAAAAAAAAAAAAAAAAAAAAAAATTGTTTTTTTTTTTCACTTATAAAAATCAAAGTACACACTAACAAAAACGGCTTGGAAGAAAAATCAGCATCAATGAACAAGAAAAAACTAAAACAACAAAAATGAAGAGTAGAAAGTGATATTCACCAGAACATAAAGATATATAACTTCTGACTTCTAAGTAGTATCTTTTTACACAAAAAATACAAATATGAAGAAATTTCCTGTTTTGGGATGTGAGACATTTCAACTAGCAGTTTATATGCAAAAATATAATCAACTGGAAATAAAGAAAGAAATTACTGATTGAAGGACAAAAGGATAGTTGAAAGCTGAAAAGTTAACTACGAACTAAAAGTTAAACAATTGTAGTTAGAAGTGGTTGGTAAAATTAGTTGTTAAATAAATTGATACATGTAAAAAGACATGGACATTACTATATTAATGATATTTTAAATTTACAATTATAAAATATTTATATTTTGAAGCTCAAATGTATTTATACAATTTATATGTGCAAATTTAAATAGTGATACTATTTAAGGTCCTAAAATACAATTGTTCTACTGAGAAGTTCAAATTACATTCACACTCCCTTATTATTTCATACTTCTTAGTTCCGGCAGCCATACATCTATAACTTTTTATAAACCATAATTTAGAAAGGTAAAGTCATAATTTATACAAAGTACTCCCTATATAAGAAATAATGACCTTATCAAACTATCAGTAATACAAATGCAGATCATTCTATAGATCGCCACCCCAATCAATTGATTATTTAATCAAGAAATTTGAATCAATCAAAAACATTATGGGTGCAATCAAATGGCAAGAGTATATGTAAGGATCTGAGCTGTCGTACCATAATATAAGCAGTTCCTAGGACAAACCAACAAAAATGATTAGAAGTAAACCTCTATATCAAGCTGGAAAAAAAAAATTCAGAAAGAGAACTTTCTTCTGATTTCTCATTCTACATTGTGTTAGCATAGTTTTCGTCTTCTCTAGATGCTTTATTTTGCACAGTTCCATAAGCATTAATCTGTTAACCTGACCAAGGATCTCCAGTAGTTACAATGACATGAGGTTCATCTTTCACACACTGTAACTATAATGATGAACATAGTACTTCGTTTCATTCCTTATGCTGAATTAGAAATTAAGAAGTCAAATTAAGTGAAGACATTAGAACATATTATAATACTCTCTAATAAAACTTTTCCATATGCATATCATTATATCAATACACATTCAAAATTTCTTTAAAAATTCACCGATAATCAGAAGGAAAAAAAAAAAGAAAACTTCGTGTGCTGCGTCCAAATTTGCGAAGGTATTCCAGCGATCTCCTCTCACTGGTGATTCTATAGCGAAGGTGGTGGCAAGGACGGAGCCAGAATTTCCGATGAGTGGGGGCGAAGAAGCAAATGTAAAATGATATAAGCAGCATATCTTTGTTTGCTTTTATGAACAGAATAGCAACATAATAATACAGAGTATAATGAACACAAGTTCTTTCAAGAAAACAAGATTTCTTCAAGGACAGTTGGTTCATAAACACAAGTTCTTTCAAGAAAACAAGATTGACAAAATCACAAATATGTACTAGCATGTGTTTTAGTAAAAAAACATCAGTGTCTAGTTTAAAAACTAGTGTCTACCTCCATGCTTGGACTAACAGAATTCACTAAAGCACACTATTTACCCTAAACAATAGACCGAGAACAATTAGTCATTAGTCAAATACCCTCACTATTTTTATCTTTTTTTTTTTAAATAACAAGAATTCATCCTTACAGTCTGTTGGTCTAAGAAATTATCATCAAATATTTACAAAATCCATATCTACTTCATTGAGAATTTGACTTTTGCAACACTTTCCTCTATTTCATCACAAGTATCAAGAGCTCCAATGCTTCTCCAGAACAAAATATTTGGAAATTGAAATACTCATTAATCAAAAGTAGACATGTATATACTAATGTACTGCAATAATGCCTATAAGCCATCAGTTACAGTGTTAAACATATTTGTGGGTTTCTACTTAGTAATATTTACGTGTTGTTATCTTTGCCCATACATTTGGTGCATTTTTGGCTCAATAATCCAAACAATTCAATTTTGTGCCAATCTGGGATGGCTTAAGATTAATTAACCTCTTCAGCTGCATATGATTACTGCTGGATATTCAATTACAGAACGATCCAAGTAATTAGGGCAAAATTAGCAACAAAAAAAAATAATTAAAAAAATTAGGGCAAAAACATAATAAGATTTGCTGAAGAAGTTCAAAAGGGCAACGGAATCGAGGAACTACGCACCTAAGGCCTGAGAGTGAAGACGGAACCGGCGAGCGACTGTTCACGGTTGAAGACGGATCTGGGCAGCTGGCGACCACGGTTGAAACTTGAAGATGAAGCCGGCGAGGCGGTGGCGACTAGCGACGGTGTCTGGCGGGCGAGGGAGCGACTAGGCGCATAGGAGAAGACAGAGGCCGAAAGAGAAGTAGCGCGTGGGGTGGTTAAAAATTAGGAATAAAGCAAGTTTGGTCCTGAGTTATAATAGTAGTGACGTCAGTCTATGGTATTCATTTTTAATCCCTCAGTTATGAGAAGTATGAGCATTTGGTTCTCGATCGTTAAAATTGATAAAATATTTAAAATTTTAGAGATAAAGTAAGAAATATACATTTTATTCACTTTCTTATATTGAAATCACTTTTGCCACATTATTTTCAACTTTCTAGCATTCTATTTCAAGGTTTTTCAATTCCAAAAGCAATTCAATAATTTACGTATAACTTGTTAGTAACCTGAGTCTTGATCATTGTCTTCAAACATGTAACATACACCATCCTAAAGCAATTCAATATCCATCACCCCATATATTTTCTTAAAAACCAGAGTAATGAATGAGGAACGTAAGACTCAGTTATGAAAATTCTAAAAACTTTTGTAACTTTTAAAAATGATTATTGACTACAGAGCTAATTACCAAAATGGTCCCTTTACTATAGCGAAATCACCAATTTGGTCCTTGACTATTTTTGTTGACCAATTAAGTCCCTCAACTTTAAAAATCTTAACCAATTTAGTCCTCCGTTCGTTTGACCGTTAGTCAACCGATAACTTGGACCAAATTGGTAATTCGCTATAGTCAAGGGACCATTTTGGTAATTAACTTTAAGGGTCAGCAATTCGGTTCAGTTTTCTCGAACCGAACCATACCAAACTAGTTAGATTCGGTAATATACCGAACAATCGAACGGTAATAGATTCTTGTATACCGAACGGTTCAGTAAAAACTCGAACTTAACTGAATTGTTCGATAAAAATCGAACCGAACTGAATTGTTCGGTAAAAATCGAGTCGAACCGAATACCGTTTGAACTTTGGATTGCTATTTTGTTATATATTAGACTTTGGATATGGACTATGTAAACACCATAACACATAATATAGAACTTTTGATAACAAACCATAAAGAAATCAAATAAAACATTTATGAGAGATACCCGTGAGAATATGAGCTGAACGGCAGAGCAAACAACAAGGGACTTGGATTTACTTTTTATTTATTTATTTATTTATTATTATTATTATTATTATATTTTTTTATATAAAAAAAATCAAACGGTATTCGGTCCAGTTCAAATTTTTACCGAACAATTCGGATCAGTTCGGATCGATTTTTTATCGAACCGTTCGGTACACAAGAATCCAATACTGTTCGGTTGTTCGGTATATTACCGAACCAAACTAGTTCGATTCGATTCGAGAAAACTAAATCGAATTGCCACCCCTAAAGTTAATTACCAAAATGGTCCCTTAACTATAGCGAAATTACCAATTTGGTCCCAAGTTAACGGTTGACTAACGGAGGACCAAATTGGTTAAAATTTTAAAGTTGAGGGACTTAATTGGTTAAAAAAATAGTCAAGGACCAAATTGGTAATTTCTTTATAGTCAAGGGAACATTTTGGTAATTAACTCTTGACTAAACTATTGCATATGAAAAAATTTTACATACTAAAAATCTCAAGTTATTCCGTTGGTGAATTTTTCATAAAAACAACCTGACAAATTTGACATCTTTTTGTATCTCAAAGGTTATGGTTTGATTACCTATGTTGCTTAGTAAATAAAATTGAAAATTCATATGATAGTGTGTTTCACATGTCTGAAGACAATGATCAAAGTGTTTATTTGTTTGTGTTAAGTCTTAAGTTTGTTATACGAAAGCCAGATTCCTAACAAAACATACTGAAGTTATTGAAATGCTTTTAGAATTGAACAATCTTGAATGCTAAGAAGTGAAAAATAATGTTGTGAAAGTAATTTTGGTCTAAGAAGGAAAATAAAATGTACTTTTCCTACTTTGCCCCTCAAATTTTAATTTTTTTTGTCAGTTTTAACGATCGGGGATCAAATGCGCCACTTCGTTCATAACTGAGGGACTAAAAATGAATACAGTCATAACTCGGGGACTGAATAGGAACTTGTGTATAACTCAAGGGCTAAAGGTACAATTTTCCCATAAAATTATATATAAATTGCCCATAGTAGGTCTCATTTGTTTCAATAAAATTATTATACACCATCTAGTATAGTATTATAGGGCATCTATCTATAATCCCGAGAGTGTCAATCAATTTAAACTACATAAATATAATATAAATTGTATTTAGTTTATTGTAAATGTTAGTGGAGGTAACAAATGTGATCCACGCAGCCAAGAAGAAAATGATTAATTCATGACATTATTATTCCACTCGTCTTCCAACTATTTTAGTATTTTGATTATGTTGGTCATCGAAATATTTGAGTATTTTGGTTTTATTGTTGATGCTAATGAATACATCTTAGGTTGATTGGCTTACAAATAAGGTGTCAAAACTCAACCACAAGCACATTTTCTTTTATTGTACTATCATGTTTTGTACATTATTATAAACCGTTCGAGATGTTAAAAACTTATAAATTTTTCTTGAAACTTGAATTCCATACCAAATGAGCCTCCAAGAAGGGCATTTATACTCATCCACTTTCTCAATGGAATATGGAGATCAATTTAATCTTATGGCTAGAATTTTGTCTATAGAATTCTCCTTACAATTATATACAAGTTCATGAGTTTCCTAATATTCTATAGAATTCTAGGAATCCTTCCACATCTCTAGAGTTATGTACATAATTTTGAAATATTCTATTTGTTAGCATGTAAATTGTGAACATTCAGTATATAAATTATGAATATTCAATAGGTAAATTGTATATTTTTTTTACCCGGATCTACAGAATAATTTTCCGTCGAAGTTTGATTATTCCCTCTTTTGGGCCTACTTAATCTGCTGCACATTTCCCTTGTTGGGCCCAATATCATGCAAATAAAACTAGGCTTGGAGCCCATGTTCTATGTGCTTGTAATTACAAGGAAGATATATATTTAAAGAGATTAAATTGTTGTTTCCTTTTACATTTTTGCATGTGTAAATAGTAAATACTAAATAGTTATTACCCAGCCTTCAAAAAAAAAATAGTTATTAACCCATAATTTTTCAAAAATATGGGGAAAATACTACGGAGTATAAGCAGTAAAAATATTTAAAAATTTCATTTTTTTTATACATCCAAAAGAATGAAAGATAATAATACATATAGAAGGAAATGGATAATTTAGACCAATTCAAACAAGTTCAAAGGAAACATTAGGTGATTTTTTAAATTTATCCAAATTCACTCATGGCGCATTTTGATAACAGACTTTCTCATAAGTTAAAAGATTAAATACGAGCATACACATTATAAAATTTGATCTGTCTATATTAAAACTTAACTATTCATATAAAAATGTGAATTAATCCAAATTAACATATTTTTTCTAATTCAGGACAAAAGTTCTCGTAAAGGTTTTTTCGAGTTTCTTTTTCCCAACTTCATAAGTATACTTTGAGAATCAATTTCTTATATACTAATTATCCATTTTATGTGTATAAATATATGAAATTCATCTTCTTAAAGAAAAAGAATAAGCGAAGTGCATTTCGACCCATCTCAAATAGGTAATGTACTACACTCAAAATAATATTTCAAAATGTGCATTAATATGTCAATTTTCTAACAAATATAAATCATTTTCTATATTTTTTTCAAACATTTTCAGCTCAAAAAATCTAATTAAACCCCTCCATCTGAGTTTAAACCTGTAACTACTCATTTGAAATGGTAAATAAAATATCATCATACTACAGAGTAGTTGGTAAGCGACATGAAATTAATCTATTTAAGTTACGATAATATAGAGGGGAGTATCTTCCCCAATTACATTGTTCATGTAAAATAAGAAGTATGAAGTTGGGTACTAAAGATATTGACTTGTTGAGTTTCAATAAGTTGAGAAAATCTACAAATCTAATAAGAGCGAATAATGTTAGGCCCTTAACTGGAACAAAAAAAATGTCGGTACTGATTGTTTCTTAAAATGAATGGTTCATATTATTTTGATTTTAGTATCTTTTAATGATTTTCCTTATTTACCCTCTATTATATTATTTTCTTCCCTTAAATAACCCTAAATTCCGTTAGTTTAAACTTTAGTAACGGAATATTCCGTTAACTATTTATTATTCTTAACATACTCTTAATTTATATAAGGTCTTAGGTTCGAACCTCATCCCAAGTATAATTGACATAATTGTTAAACATATATTCCGTTAACTATTTATTATTCTTAACATACTCTTAATTTATATAAGGTCTTAGGTTCGAACCTCATCCCAAGTATAATTGACATAATTGTTAAACATATATTATGAATATGTTAAAATGTATTAAAAAAAATATATAATATAAAATTTAACATAAACTTTGGTCAAATAATTAGCTCGACTAAATACATAGCATTCAAAGTTGAGCATCAAATATTATAAATCAGGAACTACTTTAAAATTATTTGATTTTCTTGAATTTTTTTATTAAAAAAAAACAAATTTATGTTAAGTTTTTTTTTTTTTAAATTAATCTTCTTCTGATTATTTAGAACAAAACTTAATATTTCAATTATGATTTTGCATTATTGGAATGATTTAGGCCATTATGGTATTAATATTTTTTTTTGTATTTTTTTTTATAATGGTACAATTGTACATTACATTACTAATATTATACTATTATTTTTTTATCGGACAATGTTCTTATATCATTGTCAGACCTGCGCGGCCTAACTACAAAGTTGTTGATCATAAATACAATTACACATGGACTCTAAAACGGTAGGATCATTTTTCAAATAATTGACAATGTTAACATCCTACTAGCTCCAATTGAACAAGTTTACACATCAAAATTTTATCAATGCATGAAAACTTCTAAAAAAATTTGTAAGTTAATTTTTACTATACCATTATATTAATATCTACTGTAACCATATATTTTGAATTATTTATTATCATCCTCTATTAACAGCAATTGTAGCAATTGTTATGGACAAACTCACAAAACAATTTGTCTCAACAAGG